CCTTGATCGAATCGAGGTGTTAGAATGATATCCCTCATCATCCGCATCATGATCAGCACTCTGAACACTCGAAGCTCTATTGTATGTATCTCCAGTACCTCGCATCTCAATGGCAGCCAGCCTGTCGGATATTTGTGTCATCACAACTTCCTGTCTCTCCGCTTGTTTTTGAAGAGCTTGGAGCACCAGTTTGAGTGACATGTCAGTCTCAGACGGCTCAGGCATGTTCCCCTCTTGAGACATGTTGTCAAACCTGCAAAACAAATGTATCCTAGTCTACCTTGCAAAGCACTCGTGTATCACTCAAGAAAACACACTCACTCTCAATTTTCCTTTTCGAAGTTCTTAAAACAACTCAACTCTCAAAATTTCCAGAATTAATTACCCTATAAGTAATAAGACACAAAGCAGAATTTTTTTTACGAATCCTAGAAAACAAAAACTCTACCTGAAGCTAGAACTGGTTTTTTTTTTTTTGAGCTGTTGCTTTGCTGAGTTTCTGGTCAGTATTTGGTTTTGGAAACTGATTTGGGGTGTTTGGGGTTGGTTAGGTCGTTTGGGATCTTTGGAATTCAATCAAGATTGGAACTCAAGAGTTGGAAACCAATCAAGATTAGGAAACTCAAATTTTGGGAAACCAATCAAGATTTGGAGACTAATCAAGATTGGAAACCAATCAAGAATTGGAAACTCAAGATTTGGGAAACTTGATTTCCTTTGTGTGAGAGCCAATTCCTTCTCTTCTTTGTTTTTTTTATTTTTTTTTATTTTTTTTTTTTGCTTCGGCTCTTCAAGGAACACAAATTCAGGTGACACCAACAAGTTCAAGAAAAACGGATGAAAGGTTATGCAAATTTCAAGAAGACCCTAGTTCTTGATTTATTGTTCAAGAACCTTCAAAACAAGACTTGGTGGTCCAAGAACTTCAAGAATTTGTTCAAGAAGCTCAAGAACTTCCCCAAATTACGTTGTGGTGTTTAGGGTTTGCAAGAACAGCAACCAATACTCAAGGAATAGGCAAAACAGAATTTCAGCAATACTCAAAAGAAAAAATTCCAGCAATACTCTAGCAACTTGGACACTAAAAACAATATAAGGTACGTGACTCTTTTTTCTTTTTTTTTTGTCTTTAAACCCTAACAATCCAAACAAAAGTATAACAGACTCAAGAACAAAAGTTGGACAGAAAACACAAAAAGACAATACCCAAACAGTTTTTTTTTCTCGGATGAACAGTAACGTGAACAGTACGCTACAGTACAATGAACAGTATTTCGGAATAGTAACGATGAACAGTAATCGCTACAGTTTTTTTTTTTTGACAAAAGACACAAACTAATAAGATATGAACAACTTCAATTGAAAGAGAATTAACCTGATGCTCTGATTACCAACTGATGAGGCAACCCTAGGGGAAGACCCTCCTAGAACCTCCCAACCTTGTAATTATCAGAGTTGGACCTTTTCTCCCAATGGAAATTGAACTCGATTGTTCTCATGAACTCAAGACCTCTGACACACAAAGGCAATCAGCAACCTTAAGCAAATAATGATGGATGAAGAGACACCACGATTAGGGAACAAGCTAATCGATAAAGTCAAATTTGAATCCTAAGCCATGAACTCAAGAATTCAAGAGTAAGTTCGATTAAGAACTTGAAGGAAAATTCCTCACGATTTCTGGTTGTAAAAATATTCTGTGCGGACTGATACAAGAGGTGCCTTTTTATAGGCTAAAACTAGGGCAAACTCCGGCCCACATAAACCTGAAAGAAATTCGGTCCGCATAAAGAGCTTAAAGAGTCAGCTCTTTAAGGCTTTCCGATAAGGCCCAATAAGTAATAAAATACTTAACGCCTAACAACTACTAAACGAGACAGTCTTAAAACAACTACCAACTAAACTAACAAGTATGAGATCATTCCTTCACTTCAAACGTACAAGTGAACAAAGTAACGTCATGGTCCATCAAATCTTCAAACCTAGCTTGCTCCTTGCTTGTATGGTGAATGATCAAGGCTTGTAAAGCTTCCTTCACCTTCTTGGATCTTGATCTTGTCATCGGACCGTCAATGTTGTCCTTGACCCAAGGTTGAAGTGGTTGCGCACCCGTATCCGTATCAACGCCACTCTGATCCATGATCCCAATTCTTATACAAGAGGAATTCCACAACAATAAAATCACAACAAGCCTTCCTTCGCCACGAGCCCTGTGGAGGGGAATAAAATATTTTTGAGGTGAGCTAGAAGCTCAGCGAGTAACCAGTAAAATCAGTAATCAAATCGGTTTCACAATAGTTCATTTCAATGATGTCATAAATCAAATGATAAGTCCAGAAACAATTACAACATTTACAATACATTAGAATGGAGTATCAATAATTCAAGGAATATTTACAATGGAAAGCGATAGTAATATTCATTAAAAGGATACGGGCTCACATGGAGCTATTCGTTTGTTTGTTCGTTCCCCTGACATTTCCCCTTATTCCTCCAATCGTTTGAAAATACATTTTTTGTAAGTAGAATCCCTCGTTCATCCTTTTGTTCGTTCATCCCCTTTTCCGGACTCCACCCATCCGACCATTGGCCGGACTCCACCCATCCGGACGTAGCCGGACTACAAGGTAATACTCGAGTATACCAAATTCACCCAGGTCACCATATCGCCCGACCGAGTCCGCTTCTGGCTCGAGTCGATCGGTAACAAAGGGCAGTGGCCAATTCAGCCAAACGGCTTACATTCATGCGCAACTAGCATTTCAATAATTAAATCCTTGAAAATTGCACAGTTATTTAGGTCGAGTGCGATAAAGTACACACTCGCTTAGAAAGCTCGTTTTGGAAATCATTCAAAGCACTTAACACGTTATCAATCAATAATACAAGTCATGAAGTTAAGAAAATATAGCAAATAAGGAACACTCACATGCAAGCACGCATGATATGCAAGAAAACAGTTCAAAAGTAACTTTGGAAACAGTTTAAAGGTAAATAATGCAAGAAAACGGTACAAAAGTAACTTTGGAAACAGCTCAAAAGTAAATAATGCAGGAAACGGTTCATAAATAACTTCAGAAATAGTTTGAGGTCACTCACCTCCATGGCTCAGAAACCATCCATCATATATCATTGCCTTGCTCAAATCCAAGTCTTAGATCACAAACTCATTGCAAACAAGTCCTTTAAAAGTTCAGACAGCACTTCCCCTAAATTTGCTTACTTTTCCAGCCATCATGGCTTCATTATTTCCTCAGCCAGTCCCAAAGGTACACACACAACAACAAGTTCATCCAATAGCCATTCAGCAAGCTCCAAGTAGTACAAAGACAAGTCAAGTTAGGAAAAAGTCCGGAAATGAAAGTTAAGCTCAAAACCAGAAAAATATCTTTTGACATCCTTTTACGGTAATGGTACCAAAGGCACTACGATTGTTGGATGAAGGTGAAACACCCACCGTTTCGAAGCTAAGAGATAGGGCTACAATATTCCAGAAGGTCACTCAACCCAGTTTCGAGTGTAACCAGGTCAGAAACACAAGAAACTACACCAGAATCACAAAAACAGCTTCACAGAACGCATTCTAGAGGAAACATCATAACTCAGGCTCTCCAAGTCCAAATCTAGAAATTCCAAAACCAGAGGATAGCTAAGAAACAGGGCTAAATTTCATCAGAAGGCCTCAACAACTAATTCGGAAGCAATCCTGACCAAAACAACCAATTACAGGCGCAATTCTTACATTCGGGTAAAACCAGAACAGCAATAGTAATTTCGACTTTTCTCACTCTACGCTACTCCGATTGACCTGAAATTTTGTAGGCACCTCTAAAATGTCATTCCCTATAACTTTAATGTTTTAAGGCAAGGCCAATTCGGCCTCTAACTAGGAGCTAAAAATTCGGGCAGAATGTTCCTTCACAAAACCTAATTTTCTGAAATTTCTTCCAAAACAGAAATTGATTGCAATTGTCCACTTTTTCCACCTTCTAGAATCATTATATACCATTTCCAATCATCATATATAGCCACACAACCATGCTTATATTAAAACAGAAAAATCCCCAAAAATATTGAAACTTCATCACTTCAACCACAAATCAAGAAATAATCCATAATATTGCATCTCATACCACCACCAATCATGAATTGAACATCATTAGAGGAAGGAGAGGGGTCCTTCACAACTCACCTTAGCAATACAAGAGATAGAGCAACTAGTCACCTTAGCTTTCCAAACAACTCCACAAAACACCTCAAGACCACTTAGCAAAGAGATTTTATGGAATGATTTGGAGTTTTATTGGTTGGATTTGAAGATTGAGCAAGAAATAGAAGGAAGAAATTGAGAACTTTTCTTTCTTTTCCTTTGAGAGAGAGCCGGCTATGAAGCTTTAGAAATAAGGATGATTTTTGGCAATTTTTTTGATTTATTTGGTAAAGTAGTGAATAGTGTAGTCAAAGTCCAAGACTTAATCTTATGGTGACACTTGTCACCTTTAGGTTTAAAACTTATCTTTTTGTCTCTCCAATACAAATATCTTAACACTTTGTAAAATAATATCACTTAATACAAAATTCCAACAAGTTGTCAAAAATATAAAGCATTTACCGCACTAGCGGGTCCCACGTCTAAAATACGCTCTTAATTTGTAAAAAACTAACCGATACTAGAAAAATCATTTTAAAACTGTCTTTGCTTATAAACTTTATGTGGGAAATTTTTCTAATAAAGAAAAATAAACCCTAGAAATTTAGAAAATTTCTGGGTTCTCAAACTCATTTCATTTTTTTTTCGGGGCGTCACACATTCCATCAACCAGAATCCCAAGGGACTTGTAAAATTCTCCCAAAGAGCAGAATGCATATAGCAGTTTAAAAGAAGAAGTCAATACTCAAATATATTTCATTAAATTAAAAGTCGATAACAAGTACTAAAATCGCAAACAAGTGCTAATTAAAAGCAAGTACTAAAATTCCAAACCAGTACCAAAAGATTGTCATTTACAATAACTTGAAAGACCTTCTTGTGCACAAACTAAAAGACTCTCATCCCTAACAAGTTGAAAGAAGTAGAAGTAGCTTCCAAACTTTCCATTTTGTTGAGAGTCCTCAGTCATAACCATGAAGTCCCCATCATTCTTCAGCTGTTTCCACTTGTGCACAAAGACCAAAGGGGATCATTAGATCATCATAGCTAGAGCTAAAATTCCAGAAAATCTGCAATGTATTTAAGTGCATATCTCACCAAATGACAAGGCCAAGCAACTGGTGCACCAAGTGCATCTTGAATTGTTTGCTGCAAATCATACGGTCTAATCAATTGCTCATGTGGACTCATTGCAACTTGTATCTGTATTTCACACCAGTTTGGCCCAAGAGCTTGTCCCCCAACCTCATCCAATGGATTCAGACTCCGTAAATATCCCTTTGCCATGATTTTTGTTGGGTCAAACAAACTTTTTAGTGAAACCATATTCCCTACCTAGTAAAGATCCAACAAGTACAAGAATCAAACTCATGCCAAACTGCAGATTACAAATGTGAAAGTTTAAAAGTTGTAAATACTTACTCGAATAGGTCGCGTGGCTCGCGATGGAGTTTGTCTTGACACATTGTTAGATGATGATGAAGGATGTCTCGGGCTGTCAATTGGAGAGCCCCTTCCATGTTGAACTAAAACCATTTTCTTCAAGCTGGCTATTTCATCATCTTGTCGCTGAAGCCTTTCCTCCAAACGGACCAATGTTGACTGTTGTTGAACACTTATACGGTAACATGTGTTACGACTAGGAATGTCTTCCCATAAGTCCGTTGGATTCACACCATCACTAAACAAGCGAACATGACCGTGTTTGTCTTGCCCAACCACCTGGGCAAATGTATCATTACGACCAACTGGATCTTGCGACTCCGATGGAAGCTGATTTTTCAGCTCATTCATTTTTTCCTACATAATAAAGGAAAACACTTGTTATTGTAAAAGTCTGTCTGAGAACAATGGTAGAATTTATAGGCTTGTGTTCTCAGATCCTTACCAAATTCTCAGCAACTATAGTACTTGATGGAGTTCCATCGGTATGGGTATAAAACTTATTGAACATTTCTACTCTAGTAGGAGGTCTTCCCAACTGTTTGGCCTATAAGAAATTGAATTTTTTTTATTATAGTTTTAGCATTTAGCATATAATTAAAAAACAAGCTAACATAATGAAACATGTACGAGTAAAAAAAATAGCAACTAAAAAAAGGATGAGATATCACCAAGTGGTTCCGAAGATGAGCAAATGACTTTTTTCCAGTTGCGTGGTTCATCTTCTTCTCCCCTCTAGCTTTCTTGTTCCTCTCACTTAGTTTCTAAATTTCAAAATCAAAAGCAAGATTACAGCATTGAATAAACACAACTTTATGAAGAATGTTGTAGCTGATTTGTACCTTTGCTTCTTCACTTTTCCAATAAGCCCAAAGTTTGATCCATTGCTCTTCCCGTACCCTTATGTCCTTTTGAAACCGAGCTTCAGCATTTGGCACGGCAAGATAAAAATATGTAGCCTTTAAATCTGCCTTCCAGCTTCTCCATTTTTTGCCAATAGATCTTAAGGTCCAAGCTTCTAGTCCCATAGGCAAAGCAAACCTTTCCTGAAACGTAGTTAGAAACTAGAAAATCAACATAACTTCACAGTAATTTTTGTAGAAAGCATACATAATACAAAAGCTACCATTACCTTTATCACTTCTAACATGTCCATTTTAAGTTTCCTTGGCATCTTAAGCCAACTTTCAACATCTATTGGACAATACATACCATTCCTAGCCAAACTATCCAAGAATTCAGAGAAAGAGGTTTTCTCACTTATTGGGATCCTATTGTCATCGAGTTTAATCTCAATCCGTGGAAGGTCCTTAGGCCGACCCCAAATTTCTTTCATAAATGTAGGGCCTCGGGTTTTCTGATGTACTTCACTTGAATCATTTGTAGTTTCTTTTCCAGTATAAAATAAGAAAAAGGTGCAAGTTATGAACATAAAAAATGCACTTCTGGAATTGGTTCAAACAGTTAGTAATACCTGCATCGTCCGAGTTGCATGACATGAAGGTGGTGTCATTGGAATGTTGACCTTGAGAATCCTGATTTGGATTTTCTTCAGTTGGTACGTGCCTTGTTCCAAGTGGAGATTGTTGAATTGGAGAGTTCTGGCACTGCTCATGCGACTGTGAACCTCCATCAGCTTGTTGAGTAACTTGGTCACCTGATTCATGCATTATTCCCAATGTAGAATTCTGAATTGGAGATTGAGGTGCCCGAGCAGCTTCTCCTTGAACTTGTTCAATTACATTTTCATGGCTTGTTCCAAGTGGAGGCTGCTGCCTTGTTTCATGACATGAGGGAGGTTGCTCAATTGGTTCATCTCTCAATCCATTTGCAACGCGCTTACATTTTCGACCTTTACGGGCCATACCTGCATAATTCACCATTTATTTGATACCAGGTCCACCACCATATATTTTTTTTTTGGGGGAAGAAAGGGACAAATGTAAATGTGTAGCCTTTATTGAAGCAAACACTCTACCTATAGCAGTGCATCAATCTGGGATAATGGATAAAGTATACAAGCTAAAATTAATGAACAAGTTATCTTGACTATAGCTTACACTGCAAGCCGAGCTCAAGCATACTTTTATTGAACTAATTTTGAGTTGCAACGAATATTATTGAATCTATTGTATGTCAAACTCAGGCAGTTTGCTTCTAATTATATTTGAAAAACCTTTTTGCTTATAAATCAGAACTTGAAAACAGCTTTAAGAACTTGATGATTACAGTTGGGTAAATTTGACGAAACCCACAAATCAATTCTCAAAATCCTAGTACTATCATCTCTATCAACAAAATGTTCTCACGTCACAAGGTCTGCTCAGGTCATGTAGTTCCATTTGAGAGGTTACTGAAAAGCTCCCATGGAAAGTAAAAATAGAGCAGAACCAAAAGAAGTCCATCATTCATGGGGAAACCCCCTACTTGCTCAAATCAAGCAGTCCAGTACACAATCATTTGTTGGTAAAAAACAAAACTAACAGAATAGGCATTTTAGAACCCAATATCTACCAAGTACTAGCAAAGACACTTACAATTTTCAACAATCATACTAGAATCCAAAGCTATCATTTTCATTTGTGACTACAAATTTCCTCATAAACAATCAGCACCAACAATTTAAAAGTCCAGGATTCATGAGGGAAAAAACTTTGGAAATTTACTCTTTAAAGTTGTAACAGAAAGCAACTGACAATACACAACACTATGTCGCATTCGACAGCTCTCACAAGCCACATTGTCCTAATCTGTCAAGAAAGAAGAACAGATAGCATCTCTACCAGGCTTTCGACCTATGCAACTAGAAATGTGCTTCTCAGAAACGGAGAAGGAGCTTGGCAGAAATGGGAATCGAACAACCTAAATTAGACAGATGTCTACCATGCAATGCAAAATTAGACACAAAATACTGAAATTACCTCAAACTATGGCTTGAATCCCTAACTTCTCGGTTTCCCCAAGCTTAAAGATCTGAACTCCAGCTTTCACCCAAGCTTTGAAGCCCTAATTTCTCATTCCTTGCCACCAAGCCAATGCAACAGCCGAATTAGGGATTTTCATGGTGCGAGCTCAACAAAGTTACCCAAATGGGTTCGAGTTCATGGACGGGTTTATCCAAATTGGTGGTGCGAGCTTGAAACAGAGAGAGAGGGCAAAGGGAGAGGACAACGAGAGAGGGAGAAGATGTCTGAAATAAAGGCGGTACTAATGACGCCAAAGTAAATTAGTCAAGCCTCTTGAATTTTTCAATTTGCCACGCTAATTTTTGTGTGTTTGGGCAAAATTTTGTTAAAGCTACATAACAACTAAAAATATAACAACTAAAAATGTTGTTACAGCTATATACAATATAATGTAGCAACTACAAAAATAACAACTAAAAATTTTGTTAAAGCTATATAACAAGTAAAAATTTTGTTAAAGCTATACACAATATAGTATAACAACTAAAAATATCTTAAATTAAAAATTTTGTGAAGCTAACAAAAAACATGAATTTAATCAAAATGTTTTCGGTACCCAATTTATTTTATGCTACTAGCAATTATGTACGGCTTGTAGTCTAACAAGCCGTTAGAAGGATCGAATTAGTTTATGGAACATAAAAATGAACTTGTGAATACATGAACTTTCCACTGATAAACGTTAGGATTAGAATTGATTGAACATATATATATTCAATATTTTCAATTCCAAAGCAATTGCCATTCAACTTTGTGTTTATTATAAGCTATTAAACACTTAGAAGATCTTAAAATTGAACATTTCACTGCAATTGCCGTGTAACTTTGCGTTAATTAGAAGCAATTAAACACTTAGAATATTCAATGTTTTCAATTCCAAAGCAATTGCCATTCAACTTTGTGTTAATTAGAAGCAATTAAACTAGAGGTGTGCAAAATCGAAAAATTTCGATTTACCGACCGAATTCGAAATTTTCGAAATCGGTAAATCGGAAATCGAAATCGAATTCAGGTGTTCCGAATTCATATATTTCGAATTTGGTAATGGAGTTTTTCAAATCGGAATTTCCGATTTCGAATTCACAATTCGAATTCGGAATTTGAATTCCGATTTTGATTTCAAATTCGTTTTTAATATATAAATATATTTTTTATACATGTAATATAAAATTTATACTATATAATATTATATAAAATTTTATAATATAATATAATATTATAAATTATAAATTATATAATAAATTTTATATTAAACACTTAGAATATTCAATGTTTTCAATTCCAAAGCAATTGCCGTGTAACTTTGTGTTAATTAGAAGCAATTAAACACTTAGAATATTCAATGTTTTCAATTCCAAAGCAATTGCCGTTCAACTTTGTGTTAATTAGAAGCTATTAAACACTTACAAGATCTTAAATTTGAACTTTCCACTAACAAACATTAGATTAGTGGAAAGTTTGATGGTCAATCCAAAATTTCAACAAAATCGATTAAACTCTCCCAAAGATCAGTTATGGAGTGGACATATATGCAATAACAATCCAAGTTTGGAATGATCGGTTTGGTCGATTCGACCGGTTCGATTGTGTCTTCAGTCTTGTTCAATGGTTAATCCAAAAGTTCAATTAAACCGAACAACCTTCAATCAAAGATTAGTTATGGAGTATATATACAGAATACGCAATAACAATGTTTGTGACGACCCCACCTTACCCTAAGGCGTACCAAAGGATTCAGTGGACCGCCTGCCCATCTCTCGCCAGGACTCACTCACTCGTATCACGTGCATACATCCGTGGACCATAAATAACATCGCAATTCAAACTTATAATTTACATTGATGAACAATCAAGATACAAAGCCTCAATATACCCAAACTGGTTTAAAGTGTGTACAATCCAAGTACAAATCATTCTACTCGAGTGATAGCGCGAGTACAGTCAAAAGTCAAAAACAACTAGGCTATGCTAGTCTTTAGACATCTCACACCTCGCTCGTACCCCCTGTAAGGAAAACAAATAGCGTGGAATGAGCTAAAAGCCCAGTGAGGTTCCAAATAACAAATTGACCAATTTAAAAATGCAAGTTTTCGATATAGCAAAGTAACGAGCATGAAGAGTTCATAAAAGTGAGCCATAACACGACAAGTAGTAATCTCATTTTATGAGCAATAACACTTCAAGTAGCAATCTCAAAATGAGCGAGTATAAAAGTTTTCAGAACAAACAATAATCATTCCAAAACATAAGGATACGGATGGCTCTCAGGAGCCAACTTCCCATTTCATCCTCAGGAGCTTGATCACGTAATAGTTGACACTCCGTCAACTTTCAACTAAAGGAACCAATCCAGTAGAGCACCACTTACACTACTCTCTGTCCACCATTCAAACCCCCTACTGGGCCCAAAATCCTTAATAAACACGGGTGGTAATACTCAAGTATACTGATTAGTCGAGAAGATATCACTCCACTCGACAAAACAAGAGACCCAGGGTTCGTTACCCAATCGACCAAGCCCTTGCCGGCTCGACTCGAGTAACTTGCCGCAGGGTTTCTGGAATTCCAGGAAGTGCGCACATCATAAACAAGTATATCAAATCAAGTGCAACAATAAACAAGTATATCTCACGTGAGGGCAAGTGCGATAAAGTACACTCTCGCCCACTCTCGCCCTAACAATTCACGTACATAACATGTAATCACGTTGGTCACGTATCAAATACAAGTATCAAGTTCAATTCGGTATTTGAAAGCACTCACCAAAAGTAGTGCCTCTAGTGATCGTGTCTGGGTTGTACTCCGGGTTCGGAGTCCAAACCTGCGATAAAACTTTGTTTAAGAATTTTAAACATCGACTAAGGTTCGAAATTTAGACGCTTCGTTCAATAAGAAGCAAGAATTGGAAATTCACTTGGAGAATATTTGTGAAACACTCGCTCGCTTTTCAAACTATATAACTTTATAACATTATACTTGAAAATGTCATTTGAGTCAAAAGTACAAGGAAAACATACTCCGAGTAGTCATTATTTTATTTCTCAAAGGTACAAGTTCGGCTAGATTCTAACGTATAACCATCGATAACCAAAGTTACAAAAGTCCTAGAGGGTTCAAGTGATAAGCATTTACCAACAATACCCAAGTCGCAAGGGTATCTCTCTAGTCCTCGAGTGTAAATTTGGGCAGCATGCCCTTTGTGTTTACCTAATTTTCCAGCCATTTTGGCTTCATTATTTTTCTCATTCAAACCCAAAAGTACACACACAACAATCTAACTTCAATAGCCGTCCAATAGGCTCAAGATAACATAAGGACAACAATCATACTAGTAACAAGTGCGGAAATGATATTAAACAAAAACAGATTTGACGGGTTTTCGGAGAAATGACACAACCAATACTATGCTTATCGGATTGGTGTACATTTTATACTGTTTTGAAGCTAAGACATAGGGCTACAATGTTTATGAAGATCACTTAGCCCAATTTCCAATGTAACCTGGTCAAATTCCCAAATTACAGAGCCAACTTCCAACTGTACAGCTAATTAACTGCACTGTACTAGAATGGCCATATCTCAGGCTACCAAGGTCCGTTTAAGGTGTTCTTGGATGCCTTTAAAAGCTAAGACAGAGAACTAAAATTTTCATGTTTTGGAAAATAGCTAAATCAGCATGGATCATAGTGAATAAACATGATAAACTGGATGAACTGACTAAAACGGAACACTGGAAACATCCTAAAATAGTGAGGGTATTTTGGTCTTTTCACAGGTTACGCTGCTCCGATTGATCTGAAAATTTATAGACACCTATAAAACACCATTATCTACAACTTTTATGTTTTAACCTAAGGCTAATTCTGCCTCTAACTATGAGTAATAGTGCCGGGCAGAAC